CTGGACCTCTCAGTTGTCAGTTCTCACCTAGACATAATAAAGTGGGGTCTGTTGCTCCCACATTAAAAATGGGGGGGGGGCTGGAATACCGCCTTTTTTCCCCCTCTGATACAGTTTGGAATACAATGGCAGGAAAGAGCTACCAGAAGAACTCACCTGTAACTCCAGTTGCTCTTCCATCTTAGATTTCTACCAATTCTGCATGTAGCCATCTTTGGATCAGACACAAAAATAATTACCAGCAAGGTGCTGTCAAGGTGACAAGATACTGCTACTCTGTTGCATTACAACTATTTCTGGGAAAATATTTAATAGTTGATTGAGATGTCAAGGCTGGCTTCATCTTACCTGAAAACTTCATTTTCCAACATGTAGACAGTCCTAGCAAGGCCAAATACATTCCTGTTTATGTGGCAGAAGGGGGAGGTATGGTTATTCATTGCCAAATGAAAGCTATTTTATATATGTGCAAAAGGCAATCTCAAAGGAAAACCATAATACACATTCTAATACTTGGTGCACATGCATACTATATAAATTTATAACCAGTTTTTCCCCCCTTCCTTTTATCACCACTGGCTTAAATTTTGAAAGGTTTGAATGTCACCAGGAAATTAATACATGCCCCTGAAACATTAGGCTTGTATTAAGCACAAATATACAACTCGGGGGGTTAGAACCTACTAGGTTCAAGAAGCAAATAGACCCAGCAAGTTATACAATCAGGATGACTTCCTACGTGACAGAAATTGCTGTGATAATTCTTTCCCAGAGGAGACTGCTTTCTTTGGGCTAAGTCATCCGAATATCACACACTATGGAACAGTTGAAGATATAATGGAGAATCAGAAACTTGAGATGCAAGCAAGCTGATGACAAGCGATTTTATTTTGCAAAACAATCACTATACAGCAACAAATACAACTGCAAGTTGGATTGAAAAACATGAACTACCTACCACCAGTCATTCAAGAAATGCCTCTTTTATGATAACAGGCTCTAGAATTACCAGGAAAGGAAAGAATTCCACAGGCTTTCTAACAGCCTACAGTATATCTTAAAGAAAAAAAAGAGAGAGATAAAGGAAAAATCCCAGCACGCAGAAAATTTTATATTTCTCTTTGCTAAAGTTGAAGTGACTTCTAGGTTTCACCTTACCAGATTTGCAAAATAATAATCCTGTATATAAGGGAATTTGCTTGATTATTCTATTACTAGTGAGCAATAAAATCTCCTCTAAGTTGTGGTCCTGGCGATTTCCTGTTTTTTTGGCAACGATATAGAAGCCATTTGCAACTATTTTTTTTCCGGGAAGCATTTCAATAATTACCTAGATCTAAACAACAAACTGACCATGACAAACCAACTATGTACAGCAGTCTTCTTGGGGCCCAGCAGCTCCTGTTTTCCCATTCTCGGAAGCAGCAATATGGTATCAGTTTCTGGTGGGCTGCATTCAGTTGGCTATCAGAAATCACAAGGCTGGATTAAGCTGGTTTACTATTTCACACTTAATATCTTTTGGAAGGGATTTCAGGCCCTAGTAGAATAGAAAAACCCTTAGTATGTTTATTATGACACAGCAGTCCACATTTTGGGATCCTTCTTGGGTATGCTTTTGCCAAACAGACTCATTTGCAAACAGCCACAAAGAAGGAAAAGGTGTAATTATAGATGTACATGTGTGCGTATATATGTGTGTACATGTGTGTGTGTATACACGCACACATACACACACATACACATATACACAATTATGTACCATCCAGTAAGCAAGGCGGCTGCTGGCTTGGATCAGTGTTGATAGGCAATGGCTTCTGTACTTTTTGTACCCTTCATGCAGGGATTTGCTCATGTGTAACAGCTGGCTCTGCTGGCTCTGTTGCCACCACTGTGCAGTGCTGCAAGCCACCAAACAGCTGTGGCTCAGCATTGCGGCTCAGCTCTCTCAACTGGCTTGCAAAATTCCAGAAAATTTAACAATCAGCTCTTGCCAGCTGGGACAAGCCAGCTCCACCACGCCACCGCCTTCAGGCCTAGGCTCACACAGAAGTAAACACTACAGTATTGTAGGCAGAGAGGAGAGGGGATCCTACCTTTTAATGGGACAGATTTAGTCGCAGCTTGGTGACAGACTTTTACTCACCTTTGCTGTGAATTGCTAAATGTGTATTAGATTATTATACTTGACCATAGAGCTTACTAGTCAAAGTTACTGTGTCGTGGCTTAACAGACCTGGTAAGGATATCCAGCTATTTTAGTAGGGAACAAGCAAAGAAGAAATTCTGCAGAGATGATCTAATGTTCTTGTGTGACCATGTCCCTTTCAGGGCTGTTAGCACAGTGGCAAGTAAAGCTGGCAAGTAAAGTTTCTGCGGTTTTACCAGCCAGCCCATGCCCACCCCTGTACCCAGTGAAAATCTAGAGTCCTGTAACATAGCACGTGCATTTCTTATATTACAGCATGGTCACGTTCTGGTTCTTCAACTTGTATAAGTTCATCAACTTCTGCTATTCTTTCTATGGAAAGACAATTATGATTACAAGGACTTAGCTTCAAGGTAAGAAAGATAAAATTGCAGCATGGAATTAATGACTTTGGACACGTATGGTTGGTAAGCAACTTTATCATCTAGAATGTGTTTATATCTCAAAAAAGCAGATTACAAAATAGTCACAGATTAAACACTGTTCTGACTGGCTGACACTTAGCATTGTCCACATCAGGTTCAGTAGAGCCTTGGACCCTCTCTTGCTTTAAGATTGGAAAAAAGACATAAAAACACAGAGAGGCTATCTGCAAGAACCCACAGCACAGAGTCAGAGTGACAACATTTCATTAAAAATACTGCTCTTTTTGTCTTTTAATTTTTTTTTTTTTTGAAACAGTGGCATGGAGCCCACAACAAGATGAGCTCTCTTGGTCTGATCCAGCAGGGCTATTCTTAGTCTTTAATCAATGCTGTGTTTGAACTTCATAGAGTTATTCTAAATATCATAGCAATCACAGAGCAAAACAGTCCTCTTGACTGCAGGCTAACTTTTAAAAAAAAAACTACATGACTGCATTATAAGCAGTAGAATCTTAACATGAGGCAGCTTCTATGATGTAACATGTCAGGCTATTTATGCATTAGTTTATTCTCATATCATCTGAACAAGTACACAGTACATTCTGTTGAGATTTACTTGTTCCCATCCATTTACCAATAACAGCCTGTCATTTAGGAATCTATTTTTAAATTTAGGATCCAATTTAACTCTATGGCTGTTACAAAACAATTCTGGAGAAGTGCAAAGAGTCACATTTGTGCATCTAATAAATTCATCTAATGAGAGCCAGCTCCATGCATCTTATGAGAGTGATACATTTGTTAGCTTTCATGATGCCACAAGCCTCTTGTTTGTTTACATTGTTGATGTTTTCCTTTGAAAACAATTGAAGCATCATTCTTGAGACACACCAGATAAATTAAAATGTTTAAGAGGTAGCCCTTGTCCAACAGCTTCCAACACACAAAGCCATCCTAATGAACCATTTACATACAGGTCAGCTTGAGAACATGCAAATGTAATATAGGTGATTTTTAAGGAAAATGCCATAAATGTGCAGGGTAAAATAGGTAACAATTATCATGTAGTCAAAACTAGCATATATTACATGAGTAGACTGTGGTCCACTTATGTGTCACATTACCAGACCATCTTGCGTATCCTTTTAATTTCCATGTAGTAATGGTGGAAATCTCATAGACTCCAGGTTAAGTGCCTTTTCTCTTATTAGAAACACTGTCATATACTTTTTATATTGTTTCTGCAGATTATCAGTCCATCATCTTGGTTATCCTACATGGGGAGCTTATATATCATAATCAATATATGTTATGAACGCAACTCTCTAGAGCCTTGTTCTCCTGAGGCGCCCAAGTACATCAATGTAAAGATGCAATTTATAGAAATGGAATAACTTCTGATAAAACTCCCTGTTGTTTCTTGGAATTTCAACTTTAGCAAAAGAAAAAATAAATAATTTAAAACGTCAGGATTTTTTTAAGGTAGAACAAAATCATTATTCTAAATGACATTTTTAAAATGTAGAATTCAAAACTATCATTTTGGGGAGGGAGGGAGGATGGAAGGAAGGAAGGAAGAAGAAATAAGTAATACCAGACCCATAAAGTCAGTAATGGCAAAGAAAACAAATGAAGACAGGGAGAAAGAAAGAAGACTTTTTCTAGTATCACAGAAGAGACTCGCATCTGGCACTAAAACAGGGTCACATTTTGAGATGTTACAGAAAGCAATTTCATGCTGAACAATCTTTTTTTTTTTTTGTATTTGTAAAAGGTTGAATAGGGAAATAAAAACCCTGCTAACATCTACTTTTACAGACCTAAAATTGCAACACCAAAGGGTGCAAGAGACACAGATACTGTGAATAAAGAATTAGAATATTCAAGTAT